TTTTTTTTTTTTTTTTTTTTGAGATGGAGTCTGGCTCTGTCACCCAGGCTGGAGTGCAGTGACGCGTACTCGGCTCACTGCAAGCTCCGCCTCCTGGGTTCACGCCATTCTCCTGCCTCAGCCTCCCAAGTAGCTGGGACTACAGGCGTGCACCACCACACCTGGCTAATTTTTTGTATTTTTAGTAGAGACAGGGTTTCACCGTGTTAGCCAGGATGGTCTCCATCTGACCTCATGATCCGCCCACCTCGGCCTCCCAAAGTGCTGGGATTACAGGCATGAGCCACCGCGCCCAGCCAGCAAGCAACACATGCTGCCTCTTTTTAAAGGGACCTGGCGGCTTGGGGCAGACCCTTGAAGGAAGGAAAGAGTTGGTGAGCTGAGGTGGTGACTGAGTTGACATCATGGGCCTCTTTCAGAATCCGTTTCTGAATCCATGTAGCTACTTGATTACAGTTTGGGCTTCTCACCGTGATCAGAGCAGTCTTGGTCTATTTTTCTCTTCATTTAAAGGTACAGCTCTGTTGTGAGCAAACAGGCCTTACTCTTGGCTTTTTCCCTTCCACTGTTGCACCATACTTTAATATCCCAAAGCTGTGTCTTAGAGCCTCACTGATTTGAATAACCTGCCACCCAGAGTTTTTATTGAGTGCCCTAAACAGTTATTTAAACCTTTTATTTTTAGTTTATTTGGCAGAGAAATAAGCTATATTCGCCCTGATGCTTGTTTTACTAGAAAAGGAAACTTGAAGTCACTTGGGTCTACCAGCCCAGTTAACTCTTTAAAGAAAATAGGGTTCTGTTTTGGTTTTTTCTTTGTTTTTGTTTGGTTGATTGTTTCATATGAACCCAAAGTTAACAAGTTGCAAACTTAACAAGTTGTGTTTTTACTTTAACATCTTTATTTGTTTTATACAAACTCTTTCTTTGTCACTTCAGTTTTTAACTCTCTTAGTAAGTAGGGCCTCTAGTAGGGTCTCTGACAATCAGCCGCATCTTTTCTCTCTCTCTTTCTCTACATATACACACATATATTCTCACTGTATCTGTAGTTTTCTGAGTGTGTTGTATAGGTGTTTCTAATCTTCTAATCTCTGATGGTTTTGCCTGTTTTAGGCTGTGATAATGCCATTATCATCTGGAATGTAGGAACAGGGGAAGCCCTTATAAACTTGGACGATATGCATTCAGACATGATTTACAATGTGAGCTGGAACCGGAATGGCAGTCTGATCTGCACAGCTTCCAAAGACAAGAAAGTGAGAGTCATTGATCCCAGGAAACAAGAGATAGTTGCTGTGAGTATTCCTAGTATGAAAACTCAGTAGTCGGGGCACTTGAGTGAGTGTGAGCTCTTTGCTTTTTAAGGCAGGCAGCAGTACTGGTCAGTGGGACCCTGTTGTGTGTAGACACTAACTGTGAATAAGAAAAGGCTTATAAAGGCTTCTGTCTCCCCAGTTGTGCTCCTCTCCAGAGTTGTAAATTTTCCAGCTTTTACTCAAGTCTCTCACTTTGTAGCCTTTTTTCACAAAGAAATAGTTTGTATCAGTTCACTAGAGTCCTTAAGAGTTTATAAGTCTTGATCAATTAAACCAATCGGCTGCATTCCTGATTTTGCAGCTTAGTATTGAATATTGATGAATCAGTTCCTCACCCTTTTCCAAACACAACTGTTAAAGATGCAACAGGTGGCCGGGCATGGTGACTCACGCCTGTAATCCCAGCACTTTGGGAGGCCAAGGTGAGTGGATCATTTGAGGTCAGGAGTTTGAGAGAGACTAGCCTGGCCAACATGGTGAAACGCTATCTCTACTAAAAATACCAAAAAAAAAAAAAAAGGAGCCCGGTGAAAAGCAACAGGTTCTCTAATCAGCTTAGTGTCTTAGTTTCTGCCAACCAAACTGGACCCCAACAAAATCACATACCCTGACAAAAGATGGACATTCGGTCTTCAGTCAGTGTTGAAACTACACGTAGTGAGTCTGAGAAGGCCTCACTTGCCACACTCTGAGGCCCTTCTTGGGATGTGGTTATTCTTTGGCAGCATTTCTTTTCAAGAGTTGGGCGATGATAGTAGCCGGTGCTTACTGAGCCCTGGGGACTTGCCCAGCCCTGTGTAAAGTGTTTTCTCCACCCGACATCTTCCAAGGGTTGTCCTAGTGCATTCATTAAACTACCAAGGTCAAGGAAGGCTTCTTTCTGCCCTATGATATTGGTAGAAATGGTAGGGCATGCCTAATCTTATGTTATTATCCTTGAGAAACAAACATTCGTCAGGGTCCTTTCATGTGTTGGATTTTCGCAGTGCATAGACTTGGGTTGGCTGCGGGTTATGGTGGAGAGAGTGAGGCTTCTGAGTCAAATCCTGGCACTCTTGCTGCCTCATGGAGCGGCCTTGGCCAGATCACGTAGTATCTCTTTGTTTCCTCATCTGGGGAAGGGGGATGGTTAACACTGACTTCCCTCCTACACCCAGGTGAACATGAATGGCAGTGGGTGAGGTTGGATCTATGCCTGAGTTTCCCCACTCACCTTGTCTTCTTGCAGTTTAATGTGTGGCATGTGCCTTTTTGCTCTCCAGGAGAAGGAGAAAGCACATGAAGGAGCAAGACCCATGAGAGCCATCTTCCTGGCCGATGGCAATGTCTTCACCACTGGGTTCAGCCGCATGAGTGAGCGGCAGCTGGCTCTCTGGAATCCGGTACGCCCTCCCCAGCTTTTCTGCTTGCTTTCACTTGAGTTTTCTGTCTGTTCTAAGCAGGTCTTCCGGTGAGTAAGTAGATTATGGGATTCTTAGTGTAGTTTTCTAAACGCCTGCTCATCTTAAATTGGATGTGAAGTTCTTATCCTCATTGGAGACTTACTGGTAAATGTATTTCAAAGACATACTTTTGATAATCCTGAAGAGGCTGTTGACTATATTTTTTAAAAAGAACGTATGAAGAATCTAGTGTTTTGGATTTGGGAAATAAGTTCATATTTCATAAATAATACGATCAGTTGTTTAAATCAAAATAGTCATGCTTGGGAAAATGTTCATAATTAGCTTAAGTGGGGAAAAATACAACATACATAGAATCAGCTCAATCTCAGTGTGTACATGTGTGGAAAGGAAATAGATCAAAATGATGATAGCTTCTGCCACCCACTGGGCTGTAGGATTTTGGAATATGGAATGATTTTTATGTTCTATTTTATATCTTTCAACTTTTTAAAAGCACACATATTTTATAATTTAAAAAGTACTTTTAAAAAATAAAATAGGGTGGGCACAGTGGCTCATCCCTGTAATACCATCACTTCGGGAGGCTGAGGCAGCTGGACCACTTGAGGCCAGGAGTTGGAGACCAGCCTGGCCAACATGGTGAAACTCTGTGTCTGCTAAAAATACAAAAATTAGCCAGGGGTGGTGGCATGTGCCTGTAATCCTAGCTCTCATGAGGCTGAGGCAGGAAAATCGCTGGAACCTGGGAGGCGGAGGTTGCAGTGAGCCGAGATAGCACTACTGCACTCCAGCCTGGGCAACAGAGGGAGACTCAGTCTTAAAAAAAGGAAAAGAAAACAGTAACAAAGGAGAAGGGCGCTCTCATCATTGTCATGAAATCACATTGATGTATGTGTGCATTATGTTGTCCAGTCAGTGAAATTTTTAGTGAATTGGATCTCATTTAGCATCCCTGTTGCTGTTTCCATGTATGAGTATTGTATGTGCATAGTTCAAACTTCTATTATTCTAGGAAAATGGCTCGCTTAATTAGGATAGAAAAATGTCTAATAAGGTCATAAAAATTTATTTTTAAAAAAATGTGTACACACACATATATGTATTATTATCTTCCCCCCAGAAAAATATGCAGGAACCAATTGCTCTTCATGAGATGGACACTAGCAATGGGGTGTTGCTGCCTTTCTATGACCCTGACACCAGCATCATTTACTTATGTGGAAAGGTAAACAGTAATTTTGATGTTTGGTGGTAAATCCTATAAGTGGAAACATTTATCCTTCAGCGATTTAGAGGAGGGGCAATGTGTTGTATCTGTTTACTTTTTCTAATTTGTGTGTGTATGTTATAAGCTAAGGACAGATAATTTGGTATTTTTTAGGTCTTGAGACTGGACTGTGTGCAGCTTGCCAGTTGTGCAATGATAACACGCCATGTTGCATACTTTTGACTGAAGCAGGGGTTGGGCTGGAGTGTTGGGGAAAATGCTCCAATCAGGGCGCTCTTGTGAAAAAAAGAAGACACACTGGTGTTTCATTTTCACCTAGCAGTGCTACCTGATTGGTGATTTTAGATTTATCTGTACTTGTGTCAGGGATGGGCAACCAGTTGGCCACATCGAATGCTGAAATTTGTTGGATAACCCTAGATGAGCATGTATATACTTAGTACCACACACCATAGACTTGGAAGGAGAATGGTGCTTTGTGGATGCAAACTTTTGAGGGCCTCAAAGACTCTCCAGAGGGTTCTTGTTTCTGGGGGTTCAGTGCCAGGGCCCTGGGCTTGAAGATACGAGGCCTGACTAAAGCTCAGGGGTGATAATAGTTATAGGGAGACTCCACACTGAACTCCAAAAACCTTCCTCCTGCCTTATGAGCTCAGCATGCCTACACTGTGGGTAGCTTTATGATTTCATTTTTTAAGTGGGAACCTTATAATTCCCCCCCCCCTTTTTTTGTAGGCTCAATTTCCCTTAGAACTTTTTGTAGTTGAAATAATTTAATAACAGTAGAGCTGTTGAGGTAGTCCCCAGACCTGTTAGCCCTTCGCTGGGTGGTAAAGCTGGTGATGTTTGCTTTTCATAGTTGATTGAGCATGCTGCAGACCTGCTTTACATTTTTATAGGTCATTGTTTTAGAAACAGAGATCTTGTCTGTTTCCTTGAAAGCCATTTTACTGCAGATGTTAACAGGTGTTAAGTGCATTTACCTTGCCATTGTTGCCCTTGACTGAATTAAAACAAACAAAATGAGCAGTTACTCAGATATTAGTAACATTAGATGGAAAATTCTTTTGGGTATGCAGAAGTGACTAGTAAGGGTTTAGCTTCTTTTCCATTGCTTTAGATATCTCAATCATTGAGACAAATGGAAATCATGAGAACTGGGAGCACTGTTGAGGCATGATACCACCTAGCTATTTTTGTCTTCTTCTTTCTTACATATATGTATATCTCCTCTCTGCCAGACAAGATTGCCATCATTGTTCAGGTTGGTGTAACTGTGTGACAATTATTTGTACTTAGACTAACATATGCTTCAGCACTTAAAGATATCTGACTCTTCTAAGCAAGAAAGTAGTAGAATTGTACACATTGCCATGAGATGGCACATTCTGAGGATACTCATTAAAACTGAGTTTCTTCATTAGAGAAATCTCACTTTTTATCATCAATATCATCAGTGCCTGGTATTGGTGCCCTTAGGTCTGTGAACAGCATTGCGTTATACTTAAATCAATAATTGCATTCTCAGCAATTCTCTTAGTCTTTGTTTGTTTGTTTGTTTTTCGAAGTTGAATTGCAATGTAGCTGTTTGGCAGAGGCATTAACGTTTTTGCCCTAACCCTGGCCTGGTGCCAAGGCTCAGGGGAGTAAAATTAAAGCCTTTTGTAGGAGGCCAAAGAGACCTCTTAAGAGGCATGCTAGTATTTGATAAGTGAGGGGTTACTTTGTGAGGAAAAGAAACTGTCATATGCTTTAGGCAAGCCTCTTTATGAGGAAGAAAAGGTCAGCTACTGAAGTGGGGTCCCAACTAATGCTGGGTTTATAGAGGAAAGAGACACCCACATAATCCAGAGGTTTCAGTTAACAATCAGACACAGACTTGTCTCTGGTTTCTTACAGGGTGACAGCAGTATTCGCTATTTTGAGATCACGGATGAATCCCCGTACGTCCACTACCTCAACACATTCAGCAGCAAGGAGCCTCAGAGAGGGATGGGTTACATGCCCAAGAGGGGACTTGATGTTAACAAATGTGAGATTGCCAGGTAAAGAATCGAGATTGTCAAGTATTCTAGGTTGGTGTAACTGTGTGACAATTATTTGTACTTAGACTAGCATATACTTCAGATCTTAAAAATATCTGACCATTCTGAGCAAGAAAGTAGTAGAATTGTACCCATTGCCGTCAGATGGCACTTTCTAAGGATACTC